CGTTCAGTACTCGTGTGAATCTTGACGACCTGTTTGGAAACGTACATACTAATGTAGTATGCGAGCGTATCACTCCTTGCAAGGTAAGCAAGTTGTGTATGCTGCTTTTCCGTAGATCGAACATCTCGTAAATGCACACTCGGTAGCACACGTGGCAATGGCTGCAAAAAATCGACACCATGTGTGCTTTTTGATGCGTTTGATCCTGTCTGATGTCACATGCGTCACTAATTCTGCAATTACGGCATGTCCCACGGCGAGGAACGGAGTGTATAACACCTAAATTTGCAGTGGGTGTTTTGGGAGGTCACAGTTCAATCCAATGGATATTTGTGAATGAAATTGAACTTGAGTAAAGCTTGCTTCTGCAGTTTGATTTGAGCTGAGTGGACAGACGTAATTGTGTGAGAAGTCTTTGGTTTGTATACGGTGCCTTCGACTTCTTGAGAACCCGGTTTCAGTTGGCATTGTACGTCTTGATACAAGTACTCGATGAGATTCATCAAGATGTTCAAGCATTTACGCAAAGTGAACATTGCTCGTGAGTTCTAAAAGCTTTTCATTGTTAACTTATTCCTTGATGTGGAACTATGGAGCCTTTTTAGGCTGCTGGCTACTCTTTATGGAATGATCGAACATGGCGACATGTCCTACCTCGAAGTAGGAAGAGTTGTGCGTTGGATGGACAGAACCATTCGAAAGGGCATCTATCAAGACTTCATTGAATAGTGAGCTTAATTCTTCTTTCCCAGTTTTCCGTATATAATTTCTCAGAGGCAAAAAGTAATGGACTAAATCTTTTCTTCTTTTTTAGCATCCAAACATTCCTGGATGGTGATGATATAATGGTCCAGGTAGATGTGATACTTCAAACACGACCAAACACAGCAAATTTCCTCTACAGCAAATCGTACCTTGGGATGTGGCTCAAAAAGGTTGCTTTTTCCTAGTCATCAGTAAAGCTATTGTTTTGCATCTGCGAAGTTCACCTTGCAGCTGTCATCCGAATGGAACCAGCTATCCACCCAACAAGTATTTGAG